CTTCCCGTAGTTACCGCTTTACGTGAACATAACATAATCTCGACGATAACTTAAACATACCAATATCTTATAATATTTATTTTACTGGAATTTTATCCTGTTATAACATTTTGTGTTGTGGCCGTTCTGCCCGGCTCTGCTTGTTCGCGTGGTGGTGTGCTTACTGTGTGGTGTTTATGCTCGTATGCTGCGTGCACGCGCGCTACCCGGGGGGGTCACCTATAGCGTTAACTCCCACCATAACCGTAATACCTAAATGTTGTGCACTCAGCCTTTCTATTTCAACATGATTTACTAATAATCTGCTTAAATACTTGTATCATCTGTATCGTTCAGTATAACAACGACGACTTCACGTAAAATCACAGCAGCTGTTAATAACACCTATTAATACCAAAAAACAAAAAACGTTGGGCTTGCGCATTCAAACTATAATGCCTATACAAATACGGTCTGCCACGAATTACTTTCATTCTTATCAATATCAATATTTACAATTAAACTTACCTGAAAGAAATCATTGACGAAGCAGGAAATTAAAAACTCAAAACCACGAATACATAATAACAACACCGGTTTCCTTCTACCTCCGAACCACCAACGTCTTACGCTATATATTAGCTACACTAAACACGTTCGCAGAATAAAAACGTAATAACTCGTTCATTCTCGCAATCACGGCACATATCTACTAAATGCTAACAGCATACTAATATAAAGTGAATCGTTACTATAAATCACAACCGTCGCTTAACCACATCACGGCATCGTTCACCGCGCAGACAAACTATAAATAACACCATCTGTTCCCATTCTTTTATATCATAAAGCAGAACTGCAATCAATCACGCTCCTGCTGGTCTTGTGATAACTCACAGCAGCCCCGTCTACAACCACATTGACTGCATGCCCTCCCTAACAAAGATTACAGAAATTATACCACCAGTACAAAATGGAAAATAGAAAGCCACTGGCCTAACTCAATTGTAGTATCACTACACTTAATCACATATTTCCCAAAACACATTTCCTTCTTGAATGCCAAATATCATCAAATAACAATTTCCTCCCAAATTTAGCACATTTTTGCCATTGCTACCAATGCGATACTTCCGACGAAACCGAATCATCCTCCTTCACACCAACTTCCACACTTTTCAGAGACGCAAATTCAAGCTGATTCTCAACAACTCAAAACAGGAGTCACAAAGAAAAAATCCATTATAAATAATACTAAGCAAATAAACACACTTAAAAATACCGCCAATCAAACAAAGGATACAAACGCAGGTAGCTTTTTACGGAAAAAACCCAAAAGTTTAACGTATAGACGCCGAGAAAATATCTTAGTCAACGTTGACGACGGTTCGACCCCATTTTATGTACATTGCTAGACGGAACCCAGGCTGATGGCTCGACAAAGAATATTAAAATCGGTTTACCATACACGTGCCCTCCGGCCCGCTCCGACCATGTAACGTATAGACGCCAAAATTATCTGGCATGCAACTCTAACCGACGTTCGAGCCCATAGTCTTACATCTATAGCTACATTACAATTGTATCCATAGGCGATGATTGTGGCGGACTGCCGACTAAATTAAATTTAATAATATATTACCATCTATCCCTCCTACCCTGCCAATTGACGCCTATATACGCCGATATAGGGCAATAAATAATGTATTATATGCTAACTATATCCAAATATCAGTAGTCTATCAAGACTCCTGATAAATGAATCATATTATGAACAATAAATATAATTATAAATAAAAAAATATGAATAAAATTATCATATACTACATTACTATAAACTATTTATAACTAATGTGTTCGCTGGAGGCCCACCGTCCAATTCCGGGTTCCAATATTGCCTCACCATCTCTCGCTACAGTTTATTGAAGTTACTAGTCTCACTCTCACAACTGACACACGATACGAGTCTTGTAAACAGTAGACGACTAGACTGGGGTTGCGACGACTCATCGTATATACACCATAGCGAATACCCCTTACTCACTCTACCGAGGATTGTGACAAGGCCTTATTGAACATGTTGATATCAATCACCGATGTGTGTTGTGTTTGTTCTGCTGCCATGTCGTGTAGACTTCTGTTTACCTTAGAAAACTGGATTCGTTTTTAAACTGTCTAGTGCGCCATAAACACACAGCAGAGATTACTGCAGTACAAACGCATTGATATAAACTTGGACGTACGTGCGCTATCGAGACTTATAGTTAGCCACCCGGATTAGTTTACGCATAGATTAGTTATAACTCAAGAAAACTTGTCATGGATTAGCATAAATATACATTATATCTCACACACCTCATTAGATAGCATATACTAGCCAATAGCATACGTCTATTCCCCACTTGTACTCCGGACTAACCCTGGTACGGTTCCGTAATAACTTACCCTGCTAACTCTCTATATGTTGGCCCGGTTAGAGTAGCGGTAGGCACTCCCTAGACTCTTTAGATGCGATACTTGGTTCGCATATTAGATACTACCAGTACTTCCGTACCTCACCACCTTACCCAGTACTTCCGCAGTACCCGGACAAACCCCTTCAGCTATACTATGACTATGAGCGAATATGATTATAATATGTATATAATATACGCTGTCCTATCATGCCGCACCAGCACTTCTTCGATTACCTAAGCCCCAGTTCCTAACCCTAACCCTTAACCCTTTTTACTGTAATAACCCTTGAAAATTAAAAAAAACTGCCCATTTAGGAAATCGAAAGGATCCCTCCCGCAGCCGTCAAGATAATCGCTGCCGGCTATATTAGTATATACCCGACTGTATAATATACCTTTAGTAACGACAGCCGTGCCACATAAATCGGTCGGCTCATCATTTAATTCTATCTATCTGCCTGCCACTACGATTCTCTTTCACTCATCCTACCTTCCTTCCCCTCTCTTTCTCTCTTTCTCTCTTTTTCTCTCCCCATCTATCCCCTCCTTCCTTGTGTCTCTGCCCCTCTCCCCCTCTCTATCTCTGAGCTGCTCTTTGTCATCCTCTTTCATTCTTTCTCTTCTTCCTTCTCTCCTTATGTTCAACCTTTTTCCTTATTTTCACCTACCCCCCCCCCTCTCTCTCTCTCTCTCTCTCTCTCTCTCTCTCTCTCTCTCTCTCTCTCTCTCTCTCTCTCTCACCCACTTCATCTCCCCATTTCCATATATAAATAATATCAAGAGCGTATAAAGAAGAATAATGAAGAACCCTTCTTTATACGCTCTTGATAATATGATGTGCCTCTGTCTCTCTTCCTTTCTCATCCCTCATTTTATCTTACTTAATTTTCTCTCTGTTTTTTCCTCACTCATACTTGTACATATGTATCATGATAGGCATGCTATCATGACCATAGCTTATTGGTATACCACTACCTGAACTCGGAGTAATTATAATCAGTATACTTTTCTCCATAATAGCTGCTAAGTTGCCAACTAGGGCCTATATAAGCCCCCTAGACCAGTGGTTCTTAATCTCTTTTGAGTCATGGACTCCTTTGAGAATCTGGTGAAAGCTACTATAGACCCCTCTCCAGAAAAAAAACACATAAGCACATAAACAAAATCATTTTTATGTGCCTGGTTCACGGACCCCAAAGTGGTCCATGGACCACAGGTTAAGAATCCCTGCGCTTAGACCATGCATAGATTCGGAGTGTTATTCACCGCGCCCAGCAGTGCACCCCGCACCAGCATGAGACTGTGATAACACTGACGGCCGGGTATGTTTAGGCCCAAGCACTTGTAGAGCACAAATTTGCAAGCAGCTGCCTTGTGCCACATATATATATATAGCAGCTGTGTAAGATACAGGCAAAACTATATATATTGTGGGCCTTATTTGCACAGCCAACAAATTTCCGTTAAATGTAGCTCTAGAACTATAGCCCTCCGCTCTGCCACAGGGCTCTTCACCTGACTATATATAGGCTCTATAGGTTCTTCACATGGTTATAGGCTCTACAGGCTCTTCACATGGCTATAGGTGTTGAAGAACAGTAGAGGGCGTCCATAGGCTACAGGCCTAAATAAGCATCGAACAGAATTTAATTAAAAATACTCACACTGTTACTGCACTTACAAAACATACACTTTATTTATGTTAAATAACTACAGATTCATGCTCCATGCTCCGCTCGAAACTTTTGCCAGCTATATGATGCGAATTTCTGCAAAGTTGTCTGAACACATTTCATACACAAAAATCACCAGCCGGTCGCTGCGGCTACACCACCTGACGGAATGTCACGAGTACACAACAAGACCAATTTTACTTCTAGTGCTTTCTAGACGTCCACGAGGCATCTAACTTGCGTGCATAATGCAAATTATTGCAATCTAGTGCCGAATTTCAGCGGGAAAAAATGCCAAAAAAGGCCTTTTCTAGAGACGAAATAGTGCAACGGTGAACAATTGCGGAGGCTTACTGTTGTACACCTCCTATAGTTAATGTAGCTAATAGCTAGGTTAAATGTAGCTCTAGGACTATAGCCCGCGTACAGTTGCCGCAGGGTATGCGTAAGTCTAACTTTACTGCACACGATGCTGCGGACCTCAGAGTGGTATTCATTTACTTCGAATGAGACACTAGAGGAATTATAGAAGAGCTGGGAATGTTGCAGTACTTTTTAGTGAGTACTTGGCTGTGATCTCTATATGATACACTTCTGATCTAATTAATCACAGCTGGGTTGTAGTCTCAGTTGTACTGCAATGTATTATCTTAAGCCATTCTTGCATGATCTTCAGTCGGAACTGAACATCTTTGCACTGCCCTATCTAACATCCAAGGAATTTGTGTTTGTAGGTGCGAAAGTGGATAAACGATGGTGCTGATACTCAGATGTGTACAGCGCGCCCTGGTTGGGCGACAGTTTCATTTAGGCGTGGAAAGTACAAACGGACAATGAGAAAAATCAGTGTCAACCTAGTTGATATTCTCTCCGTAGATGCAGGTATTCAAAGCAAATTATGTGCTTGTGAAATTATGAAAGTTTGTTGTGATCATTTCGAAGTTCACTTTTGCAGAGGCATTGCCAAGAAAATGTGTTATTTATGTATATGTACTATGTTAGTCGAATATTCGAGTTATATAGTGCAGTTTATGCAGGTGATGTGGATTAGGTATTGCTATTAAATTTATAATATATATGGTGAATTCATAATTTTATATTGACGTTTGTTTTTTGCTAGAAAAAAGGCTGGTGCGAGTTGAGCCATTGGTCAGCATGGGTCAAATCACTGCCACCTTAAGTAAACTGGGCTGGACCTTGCCTGTTTTACCAGAGTTAGATGACCTTACTGTTGGTGAGAGATGGCTGAGAGCATGTTGTCAAGATTATTTCTATATTGCTGGCTTAATCTGCAGCTATGATGTGCCAAGCCTCTTATGTAACCATTATGCAACTAGTGGGTAGTAAACTAGAGTCACACTGAGATCTTATGTAAAGTGGGTCTCAATCCCATTATGTAATGAATGCCCACTGTGTATATATATGCTTATAAATATATAATGCAGTTGTGGTCATTTATGCACACATTTGCATTAAAGTGTATCGTTCTAGCCGGTATTTTTTTGTATTACACAGGTGGTCTAATAATGGGGTGTGGAATTGAAACGTCGTCCCACAAATATGGGCTTTTCCAGGAAACATGCGTTGCTTATGAGTTAGTGTTGGCAGATGGAAGTCTAATACGGTGTTCGGAGGTAATAAACATAACGAATAAATAATAAGTAGCCAACAGAGAGTTTAGTATATTTGGTAATTTACATTAGTGATCACTTACTGTAGAGATGCATCAAGTGCATAACAGTTATTTAATCAAAAGGTACCTAGAGAGCATACAGGCGAGAGGGAAAAGAAGGGGAAGGAAGAGCATTTGCAAGAGGGAAAGGCCATGAAAGAAGATGCACAAATGACTTTTTTCTCGTACAATTTTGTTTTTTAGTAAGGCCTACCTGAGACTTATGAAAATTAAAATTAAAATATAGTTTACTGGTATATTCTTTAAGAAACCGTGTTGACAATGTGTTTAAAAATGAAACCCGATCTTTGATTACTTTCAATTCAGGATGAGAATCCAGATTTGTTTCATGCTGTGCCATGGTCATACGGTACCCTAGGGCTTCTGGTGGCTGCAGAGCTGCAGATTGTGCCTGCCAAGAAGTACGTTAAACTCGACTACATACCAACCTACACCAGGGAGAGCATGGTCACGGTATGTATAACATTGAAGGCTTATTCCATAAACACCCACCATGTTAGAACTTAGATACACATGAGTTGTATATATCAGAGGCACATCTGTGTAGTTGGCTGTATGTGAAACGCAGGAACGTTTTTGCACTTCTGACTTACTGTACCGTTTACACGTCTTACAAGTTAATGAGTTACAAAATAAATTTAAATTAATGTAAATAAATATAAATGATATTAAAATGTTATTTATAACTCATATTGGCATAATAAGTTAAAAACAAATATTAATAAAACTATATATCACCTTGCTGAATCACATACATGTATATATGTGTGAGATAAGTGAAGATTGTTATTGTAATTGAACTATTGTTTGCTATTCTTTAGACCTTTACTGAGGCAGCAGCTAGGCCAGAAAAAAACGAGTTTGTTGAGTGTATAGTGTTTGGCAATGACCATGGTGTAGTCATGACAGCAAACATGACTGACACGTGTGAACCAGAGAAGGTATGACATGTTTGATCAGGAACTTATATTTTTCTTTTTGACCTGTCATGGCAGTCAAGTTTAAGTATAAACTTTTATTAACTTTTAAGTATCTTTATGATACTCTGGATGGTCCAATTATGATTCAGTAGGTCATTAATACTTTTCAAAGGATTCTACAGTCGGGTAATCACGTGTTATTCATTCTTTAGTAACATTACCCATTTAATAGCCATATAAAATAGCGTGAATTTGAGCTAAAATTTGAAATCCTTTCTCAAGCAGTCATAGGTTTTTGCTGTTACAGGTTAACGTCCTAAGTCGCCACTGGAAACCATGGTTCTACAAGCATGTTGAAACATTTCTTAGCCGTGGAGGCAGTTCAGAGTACATTCCACTGAGGGATTACTACCACAGACACACGCGTAGTTTATTCTGGTCGCTACAAGTATGCAACTTATGCAATCCTTATTATTTCTTAAAGCCAGTTGTTAGCTTCGTTCAGCATCACAGTTCTATGCATACTTCTACGTGTATTCACGTCCATGCAGTGGTGTAGTTAGGGGGGGGGGGCAAAGGGGGCCATGGCCCCCCGTTGATCTGAAAATTAAAAAAAATAAGAAAAGAATTGTTCCACTAAAAAGAGAATTGTCGTAGTCAGAATGAAGGCTGTACATGTACTCAAAAGTGCCTCAAATACATCTTCTGGGATCTACATTTTCAAAATTTTCTGGTGGAGGGCCCCCATATCCCACACCTGTTTTTCACCCCCTCCTTGGAATCCTGGATCCGCCACTGAACAGTTGATTACTTATCTTGGAAGCAGAGAACAACGAACAAAAATGTCGCCCATAACAAAATTGCAGAGCTGAGCTGATCGAGGTGGGAGAGCATAGGGTGTGGAGAGGGTGGCGGAGGAACCATTAAAATATTAAGTCATCCACTATTTTGCACAGTTTGCTGTTTTTGCCCCCCCCTCTGTTAAAAAATCCTGGCTACGCCACTGCGTGCATGCACACAAAGATAATAATCTAATGGAAATAGATGGATTTGGCTCATTATCTTTGCATAAATATTTACTGCTATGAATGTACACATACTGGATAATAATATCTGAAGTTTATCTCCATTGCGATGAATCTATATGCTCTCCGATTGTTTTGCATAGGACATAATTTCTTTTGGAAACCACCCGGTGTTCCGATGGTTGTTTGGTTGGATGGTTCCACCGAAAATTTCCCTGATAAAGCTGACACAGCTTGAGGCTGTGAAGAGGCTGTACGAGGAACGCCAGATGATTCAGGACATGCTGGTTCCAATCAATAAGCTGAATGAAAGTCTCGATATTTTTGAGGCTGAAACACAGGTAGGCGAGTGCATGCGTACGGAATTCACTTACAGATAATACTTGCTACGTGGCGTCAAGAAAAAAAGTTTGGCATCGATTTTTTTTATTTGAAGCACCTATTTTTAGCTCACCTTGACATCGTCAAGATGAGCTATTGCCATGTGGCGTTGTACGTCCGTCCGTCCGTCTGTCCGTCCGTCCATCAATATTTGGCTACGGTCAACGATAACTTGAGAACCGTTTGACCCACATGTTTTAAATTGCATCCAGTTGTTACTCCTATGGGAGAGATGTGAACGTCCTATTTTGGAGCACGCCAGTTGACCTACTTTCGAGCCACACCCACTTTTTAGCAAAACTGGAAATGGCCATAAGCCAGTTCAGGTTCAACGGATTTTGTTCATTTTTGGTATGTGAATGAATAAGGACTGGCCCCAAAACATAGCACAGGGGTTTTGATATTTTTTTTAAATTATGCAAATTAGGTAGATTGCCAATTTCACTATGCATCATTCCTACGGTCAACGATACTCAAGAACCGTTTGACCCACATGTTTCAAATTGCATACAGATGTTACACCTATGGGAGAGATTTCAATGTCCTATTTTGGAGCACACAGGTTTTGATATTTTTTTTAAATTATGCAAGTTAGGTAGATTAGGTCAACCTACTTTTGAGTCATTCTAAACTGCGTGTTTGCTGCAGTTATTTAGGGGGTGTAGCGAGATGCGAGATTCGAGAAGATAACTTGTGGTTGCGTACTACCCACTTGTACCTTTGACCAAAATAACAGAAAAATGTCAATCTAACTGGTTAACAACTCTACAATCATACCTACGTGTAATATTGTGTTTTAGATTCTTCGTTACAGTAAATTTGACTGGAATATTTTATTGTTTTTCTTTGCACGATAATCGAAAACCCAAATGGCGATCATTTAGGCGTAGCGCCATCTCTTGCCCAGATTTCAGACTTTCAGATCTGAAACATTTATTTTCGCATAAAAAATTACGCATATATAATTATCAAGAATATATAATGGGAGATATGGTATATAATGGTGAGCTATAGTGTCATTGACACTTTCATTTATATATATACCTAGATCTGATTAGAGAGATTTTGCAAAAATATCCTTGCATTGTAAGCACATCCTACAGATATATATATACTTGTGTAAATACACAAGAATAGACAAAACGTATACATATACAAATTGCATATATTTGTGATATAAGTAAATTTGTGTATACATAAGTATAAGCACATAATACATGAATAACATCATATCACATAAATAATATTATAAATAATATGAATAATAATTATATAAATAATATAAATATAAATAATTATAAATAATATAAATAATAATATGTGCATGTTACCACCCCCTGTAGCTCTATCCACTGTGGCTGTGCCCAATGCTGGTGAAAACCACGCCTGGGTTCATCCAGCCAAAACGTGGCAAGGAAGAGATGTTCGTCGACATCGGTGCGTACGGCGCGCCGAAAGCGCCGCAATATCATGCCGAGACGACGACTCGTCTCATTGAGGAATACGTGCGCAGCGTGGACGGGTACGTGCCGCACCACGATCTCTCGTCACATCATGTTGTGCTGTGTCTTGTCGTGTCGTGTCATTCTGTGTTGTGTCAGGTCGTGTTGTGCTGTGTAGTGTTGTGTCGGTCGTGTTGTGTTGTGTTGTTGTGTCTTGTCGTGTCATTCTGTGTTGTGTCGGTCGTGTTGTGTTGTGTCGTGTCGTGTCATGTTGCGTTGTGTCATGTCAAGTTGCGGTACCTTGAGTTATATTGTGTTATGTTTGACGATACAATTCTTGCGTCGTTTTGAGGGACACATGCGAGATTTGTGGACTGAGAAAGTCCCATCGTCTTACTTTCGAGGTAGATTAGAGTCTGCCACGTTCAGTTGATGGTGGCGCACCAACGCATGCAGTGCTCTATAACCAAATCACGGCTCGTGACATCTCCCAGGGAAATTGTTATTGGGTTTGGCAGGGAATCTTGTAGTACAGACGTTTTATGAGCTTCGACGGGAAATTTCAAAATGCAGATGCAGAGTTTCTTGTATCACATTGGTGGCAAGACACTGTGTTTATGATGGGCGCTAGCGGCACTCAGTGGGCAACATTGATTTCAGCAGGCAACATTAGCGTGTTTCATAGCATGTGACATGTTTTGCACCAATGAAAATGTGGTATATTTTACAGCTGTGAAACAATGTGTTATGTTGAATTATGTTGTTATGTAATGTTACGTAATTGTACATTATGATACATTACATTAGGATTAGGTTATGTTTTTTTAAATATAATGTTATGTTACATTACATTACTTTATATTACATTGTAACATGTTCGTATAACTTGTTTTAGCTATCACTATGACAACGCAGAGTGCAATAACAATAGTGCCACGTGTGAGGTCCTTACGCACTTGACCCTGCACCTACAAATGTGACCTTGTACCTATGAACGATTCCACCTTTATTTTTGGCACTAGATTATAAGAAGCGTACACGCGTGATCAGACTAAATTTCTGCCAACATGACAAGGTCTATTTGATCACGTACACGTGTTCAAAGCAGATTATTAGCTTATATCTGACCTTATACTTATCAGCATAAACTTCTTATCAACTTAGATCATATTAAACCCCCTTACGATACATTAGGAGCGTAGAAGCGTGGTACCTTGAAAGGACATAAGTCACAAAGATAGTATGCCTGCACGTTTGCTTGCAGTGACCTTGGAGTAATCATTCTAGGACATAAGTCACAAAGATAGTATGCCTGCATGTTTGCTTGCAGTGACCTTGGAGTAATCATTCTGAATGATTACTTCAAGCAGTGATGTATCATTCTAAGCGCACGCACGTATGTGCACTCTTATTTGTCTGCGTGGGACTAAGATTAGCAGGGCCTGTCTGTTTCTGTGGAGGTTCGTTCAAACTAGCTTCTACTGGAGATTGGTTAGCAACGTGAGCTCAGCTGACTTCTCTCTTCTATATGGGTTACACTATGCGTGCGGGTGCATTCCGATAGCAAGCAATCACTATCTTTGCTTTACGTGTAAAATTATGGCAGTCTTATTTCATTTAAAAAAAAGTTAATCGCTGTCTTTATATCTTAATGGAATTGAGAGATAAGCTAGCCGAATACTAACGGCATAGTGGCAGTAGGTCTGGGTCACAATGAGACGTGACCCTTCAAACACATCTAGTTTATGTTTTCTATCATTATTGTTTATTTATTTTTTAATGTTATTTAGTTTATATTCCTTTGTGTTTTTTATGAAAGCTGTTATTATGGGTATAATCTTGCGGTGTGATACGAAACATGTAAAATGTAGAATTTTATCAAGAGCCCACAATAGAAAATTATCTATTATGTATGGACTCTTGATCTAAAATGTTCGATTATGGACTCTTGATTTTGTCTTGTAGGTATCAAATGTTGTACGCCGATACTTACCAAACGGAGGAAGAGTTCAGACGTATGTTTAATCACACCTTGTATGACAAGATGCGAAAGCAACTTGACTGTGAGAAGGCATTCCCACAAGTATACGGGAAGGTCAATAAGAAGGTCAGAGAGTAATATTTCATGTTCACCGGGAGATTAACCACGTATGTTACCATGGTGCTTGGACTGTTAACATGTACGTGCACTACAGTATTTTGCCATATAGAGATCTTTTATATTGCATGAATGTCCATGTTGCTTTAGCAGCTTTGTGAAAAACTCATCTTACTAAGTCAAATGAAGTCATATCTGACATCATTGCACTACCTATTGCTTAGAAATAGTTAATAATCAGTATCAGTATTAACCTTCAGTATTCTCACTAACATTGGTGTGTGTGCATGCGTGTGTTCCTATATTCCTAATATTTGTACATGGTTGTTACCACTACCACAAATCTATATATTGGTAGCACAGTATCTCATCTACTTACGAACACAGTTGGTTGCATATGTCCGTTCTTAGTGGATTTGTTCTTGAGTCCAAGTTTATTTTAATACGATCAGCGATTGCCTATAAAAATATGTAAAGCACAGAAAATGTTATAGTGAATTGTTCACTATTCAGGTGGTCTGAGGTGCAAATGGGCATACGAACAAGTTTGTATCTGTGAATATCAGCAAGTCGATGAGTACATGTCTCTATTACGTTGATAAATTCATCCGTACTTACTCCATATTGATATATGAAAATTGTATTGTAAAACGACTGCTTATATACTCTTGATATTATTCGATCATTTATAGCTGGTGAAATGCTCATTTTTCATTGACGACAAGCTTGTTAAAGTATGAACCAGTAATAAGCCTGTATTTATTTAATTGTAGTTCATCACACATTATTTACAACTCGATCATGAATTCGTTGACTTTCAAACTGTAATTCCCTTTTACATGATATATACATGTATGCTAATTGTAATACCAATTAAATGTCAAAAACGTGCAGTAACATTTTTTTAAATCATTTTAAATATAACAAAACAGTAAATACTAACAAGTAACAATAAATATCTACATGTGTTATGAAATTGGGAAAACCAATGAGCAAATGTTGACAAATGACAAAAACTAAAACTAAACTAGATTATACTGTATAATAGACCACAGAACAAAATAATGTGTTTAGCAAACAGCACAAAATAATTCTCATTATATTATTAAATAAATGGTAATAACTTGCCAAATCGATATGACATTTGCTTTAAGTAAGAATCTAATCTGAATAAACCCACTGAGTGCAAGATACCAGTATACCTAAAACAAATCTTGTTGTCATAATTTTTTAAGATTACTTAGAAGTAGCGAGATTTTATTTAAAAATATTTTGCAAGCGAGATATTATTTGTTTTATCTGATTATAAGATCAATTATATCGCTGTTATTGAACTATGAATGCTGCTGAGTATCAACTAGAAACGTTGTGCTAGAGAAGAGAGTTATTTACCAATATTACATTTAAGTTGATATATTTGAAATCTGCAATATGGTTGGCTCATGCACAAATATTGTACACATAGCACATGCATTGATATCATGCTATATCAAGAGATATTATTGCTGTGGGAAATTAATATTAAATGCACTAGCTGCATTCACTCTATAATGATAGCATATGAAAGAGCAAGCACCTGTATATGCAAAAAATTACAACTTGCCTGGGTGTTCGTACACATTCTTTACATACTTTTCTAACTGCGGTGAGGTATGCTTCCAACATGTTGAGATTACTGCCTGTAGATCACAGCTAATTTGACTGAATTTACTTATAGCAACAAGAGAAGTACCAAATTCTATCTACCCTGTTGATACGAGTTCTGGGTCCTGAAAACACTACACAAAAACATCATAGTGTGAATTTCCAACCATGGTTTTTTCCATGTTTCTTTACTAAAACTCTAGAACTGGTTTCACGTGATGTACAGACAATAGTGACTGTTCTTGGATGTATACTTAATAAAACGAACCTAGAATTCCCCCGGAGTTATAGACCCAGTAGATGAGGTAGCATAACTGGTTGTAGGGCAGCTTTCTAGTGACGACTCTGCCATGTCTATCTGGTTATCTGGAAATAATATTTTGGTTTAAAGACATGCAAAAACCTAGACAGCCGAACCAGTTATTGAGACAGACGAGTTTCTCGACAAGCAGTGGCAAGGCAACGTCATTTTAAACTAGCTATTAATTCGTTATACAGGTTTAGTTTTACCTGCAGGAGAGATCGTTCACCTGTAACCTTCACATACACATGACAAGCTTGACATGTGACAACCACAGCACAGGTTGTTGACTGTAAATGAAGCAGGTACTTCGTACTAGACACTGCTAGCTGGTTACTGTACATAGGGCCAGCTGGTTTTAGACATACTGCACGCATCACACATTGCAATGCAGATCCCCCGACTACAGAAAACACGCACCACTTCCTCGGAATGTAATCATGGGATATAATCAAGAGAAACGGATTTAAAAACAACAAGCATTACTTTCAATTTCGAAAACTTAAATCTGAGAGCAATCCTCAGCATTAATGATATTTATTAAACCGGTTGACGAGAAAACCTCCCAGTAAAAAAGAAAATTAATGTACATAACAATATTCGATGAATGCATATTATAAGCTCCACACACAAACACACCACACACGCTCAACATTATTCAACGATATTCGTTGAATGCATATAAGAGCCCCTCCCCCACACACACACATGCTCAACGATATTCGTCGAATGCATATAAGCCTCCCCCACCCCCACACACGATCAATGGTATTCAGCGATGTTCCCCCACCCCACCCAGCCAGACACACACGCTCAACGATATACGTTGACTGCGTATAAGCTCGGATAGCGAAGCTCCCCGATCTACCGGCTTCCCTCACCGTCGATGCGAGGTCCTCCGTTCTGCACAAGGTCGCCCTCAAGGTCAGAGCTCACGAGACTGAGCGCGTCTACATCGCTGCTGCTCACGTCAAACTCGCTCGTGTCCGGGCTGAGCTGAGCAAGATGGCCGCCGCCACCGTCGCGGCTCCTGCCGTGCCTGCGACGCGGCTCCTCAGTATAGCCTGCCGCAGACGGTCAGACAAGGATAAATTGTTTTTACCGCGGCAGAAATAATTTAACCACGGTAAAATTCTTGCCCGTTTAACCAATCAGCGGCCTTGTTATGCATAATTTAACCGCGTCTATATCCTGGAGCAGAAATTATCGTTGCACTTAACGAGAACAACTACACTGATCTCGTGAAACTGATAATGTCGCGACGTTACAATAAGTCGACTTACGTATTGGTTTAATAGGGGAGCTGTGTTCCAAGGTGTCGACAATCTGTGGCTGGCTATCCAGCACGGCAAAATTCGAATGTCGCGTCGGCAGACGCCGCGGCTCCTGGCTGTATCCTGTCCCAAAAAATTCATCACATAAATCAACGAGAAAACAGACCTGATCTATTTGCTCACAATCATAGATTGCGTGTGCTTATGAGCAACAGAAATTAAACTAAATTAAAGATCATTAGCTTAGCTAATCCTTTTATTCATATTTGCCAATTCGTTCATGTGCTCGAGGGAATCATTAATTTAAATTATTGCAGATTTGCTAGCACCATTGTTGTTACTGATAAAATAGTTTGTTTACTATGAGTAATGACTTTGTTAAAGTGGTAGAAGTCAATTACTTATTTGTTTTATTGGTGACATATGTGTGATCATGGTTTCTTCCAAACTGGTCACTTTCTTTTCCAGGTTGCTAACATCGTACCTAAAATGTAGTAGTTTCGTGACATAGTACTAAATTACTGAAAACACTGTAACAATGTTATAATAATTTATGTATTACATCATAGATAGCACAAGAAATAGATTAGAATGAAGTTAGATTGAGAAATGGAAGAGTTAAAATGAGAATTAAATTTAAACAAATAATAACATCATGCCTTGTGTAAACACACACGTACAGGCTTTCAGATTTGAAAAGTACAGGAGGACTACTAATGACTCCCCTAGGACACCATAGGGGGTCTTTTCACGCTCCATAATCACACCCTTAAGAGGCATGATG